CGTCAGCGATGTCGACGAGGCGCGCCGCAAATTTGAACACTAAACGCGGGCCTCTGCCTGCACGGCTATTGCTCCCGGACCATCAGCGGCCGATCACGACTGGGGGGCGGGGAGGGGGCACGAGGCAGGTCACCCACTGGCAATGGGCCGTGAAGATATCGGGGGTGGCTAGATTGAGTGAGTGCGCGGCCCAGCTGGCGTGCCGCTGGCTCTGAGTGGCCGTCATTCCGGTCACATGACGACGGGGAGCGAGCCTCTGAATGCGGCCGGCCGGCGGCGTGCGTGAGCTGCTGACGCGGGCGGCGGTCATATGAGACGCAGTCCGGAGATGGGCCGTGTGTCACGCGGCCGGCTCATTGACTCGGGCCCGCGGCCAGCGTCTCTGTTTGCTCGGCGCCCCGATCGGTCCGAGACGGACGCTGCGGGCCAATGCTGCGGGCTGACGCGGTGAGATTGGAGGCCGTGCCGCTCCCGACTGACCCGGCTGACCGACGGCCGACCGACGGGCGACCGACGGGCGGACAGCCGGCGCCGCCCCACCGCCTGCGACACATCCCGACACGGAGTCTCACCACACCAGCTGGGGCGTCTGGACAGCGCCACTGGGAGCTGAGCGACGCCGTCGGCCCAGTCTCGGTCCTACCTACTAATGGCGAGCGACAGGCGGTGCGACACGCAATTAGGGGGCCGCCACTGGCCGGGGCCGGCGGCGGCGCTGGCGGCGACCCGCGCGCCGCTGCGCCGCCGGCATCGCTCCGTCCCAAGGCCGTGTCACCGAGAGAATGGGGTCGGCTGATTGGACCGACGAGACAATGGCCTTTATTGCGGCGCTGCAACACAATTGACGGCTGCTGCCGACCCCTCGCCTCCGCCCCTCCCTGACACGAACAGAGATAGACGACCATCATTTCAGGAGAGGAGAGGAGAAATTTCGGCGGCGAGCTAATTGGTGCAGACTGCAGGATCCCCGTCACTTTTGGAATTTGATTGGACTAGCCGTCAAAACCAATGTAACTTGATAGTGAAATTTTATCTTATTTGATCCTGATCCAGGTAATAAGGCAATGTACTTTAGCATCCTCTTATCTGTGTAAAGTTATGAGGCTATGGGTAGTCTCTAAAGCTGCTCGTTATGGTAATGTGATGTGCTGCTCCAGCGGTGTAGTGCGTGCTTATGTCGGTGCTGTATCCTACATTGTTCCACAGAGGGCTAGTTGTTTTCGTGCGCAAACGTGCGCAACACCAACCACCCCGAATAACAAACCCCTGGAAAGCTAACAGTTTTTTAGTAGTGGTAAACCGTAACTTTAATGAGCTATCGGACCTGACGTTATGTTGTTTCGTCTTAAAGGCGAAATTATTGCGTAAATTATCCGGCTATGAGCTGTTGATTGATCCAAGCGGCCTAATTTGTTTCCCATTATTGGATGCATTTGTGTTCACTTTACTATATAGCTCCGAGGAATAATCAGCATGTCTGTGAGGAAAGTTATCTCATCAATATCAGAATATGCGGAGCATCCAAGTCCCCACCAAATAAACTTATTAAAATGCTATTTAAAAAGGCCATTAAAGTCTCCAGAGCTTACCGGCGCTACCATTAAAGCCCCATGAACAGCCCTAACTTACATGATAGCGGCATATTTTCCAATATCACACGGTGAGTGTAGAAAACTTTCAAGAAAAGATCAAGTCATAACCACCAACATAACTGGCCCGCCTATTCATCCCTAGAAATCCCACCGCACGGCCTTCAGACCACGAGTGACCGCTGCTCAGGAAATCACAGCTCCCTGGAGAGTCGGGGACGGCCCGGCGCGGCCCGGCGCGGCGCGGCGCGGCTCGAGGGTGGTCGGAATCACGGACTGCTGTGTCACAGCGCTGTCCGCGGACCGGATATTGGTCCGAGCGAGCCGGGGAGCCGACTGGCCCCACCGACAGACGAGGTCGGTCCCAAGAAGGACGCCGAACGCGGCACGCCGGCTGAATTACACACACAGCACAATAGTTGGCGGGAGGAAGGCTCGAGCGGTCTATCCTCCATGCTATCAAGCTGTCGCTGTTAGTGGAGATCTTTTCGCTGTATACTTTGTGTCGGAGATGGAATGATTTTACTTTCATGGTCATTGCTCACATGAGTCACACTGGAAAGTGTAAACGGTAAAATAGAGCAACGGTCAGTTTTATCGACAGATAAAAGGTCGGCTGTGGTTATTTTTATTATTCACTGCAGCCACACAAAGGAAAACCGATTATATGTTTTCAAATATAACCTTATGTTCAATGATTGCGAAATGCAAATGGTTCCAAAATTAATTACAAAATGAATATATTTCGGACACTGTCCTTCTTCAGTTCAGAATTGCAAATTAAATCATTTAGTCACAACAGCGCCAGAATATGTCGATAACAGCTAAGTTAGGAAGTCTCACATTGGTAAATTCTCGCGCAAAATAGACAACCATCTTACAGTTGAAATGTTCACAAGGTACCCTTTCATATAAATATAATACATGTGTGTCCACAATTTACACATTAATCCATCCCTATCATCAATCAATCACTAGACCACAAGCATCTAGTCGTCTATTCAACCATCGAGCCATGCAATCAGTCAAACATCCAACCATCCATGTACTCACACATCACTCAGCTATAGATAATTAGACAATCAAGTCATCAAAGGCCACCATCTTACATCAAAGAGCATAAGTACTTTACCATTAAACCATTCATTCAAACCTCGAAACAATACTCAATCGTTCAATCATTCATGTTCATCCATACATTCATACATTCATTCATTCATTCATTCATTCATTCATTCATTCATTCATTCATACAATCATCCAATTATTCAGTCCTTCATTCATTCATTCATTTTCTCACATATCATTCATCAATATGGTTGAATATAAAAGCCACTTGTCACTCAGTAATACACACATGATCAGTGAATCAGTGGCAAAGGCATCAGAACAGAAGACGTTACAATAGCGAAGTTGTAAATGCTAGAGTACTACAGGACAGGATCAGTTCCTCATTTCTTTCCCTTGGTCTATGACTCGTTACCCTTTAAATGATGGCCCAGGCCGCTATGTTGCTGTTTAGAGCTGGGCGAATCTGTTTGATCCAAAGAGACTCCGCTATTTTCCTGCCTCTACTTTCATCGCATGCCTGCAGAATCTTTGCCCTTACATTATGGGGTCCCGGCCGACACTGGGGATGCTGTGTTCGGAAATGCTCGCCCCACGGGGAGTCATTCCGCTTGTTTTTAGCATCTCGCAAGTGTTCGTTGTAGCGGAGGCGCACCGAACGTCCCGTCTCACCAACATAACTCTGGTTACACAGTTCACACGTGAGCTGGTACACCACACCTGAGCTGTGGCATCTTCCTTTCAGTCCGGCGGCGCACGAGTGGCATCGAGAGCCACCGGGACAGGGTGGAGGCTGGAGGGCTGACCGGACCAGTTGGTGCCTGATGGTGTTCTTATTAGTCCAGGCCAACCCCAGGTCAGGTTGGCTACTCCTCCGGACGACTGTCTGGACCGCGTTGGCGAGCTCGTCGTCGACAAATCGGTAGCACCATTCTGACTGCGGAAGCATTCGGTCTTCTTGTTCTTGCTCTGGTCGTCTTCATGCACTGGTCCACCGCCTTGTTGATGGTCTTCACGTTGTACCCGTTGTTGGCGAATAGCTCTCTTGTTTTGTTGATGCTTCGGTGTCGGGCGTTATCGTCACTTGATAGCTTGATGGCTCGTCGTATTTGTGAGTGAAGCACTGCCCTTTTGGTCTTCCATGGTTGAGCCGACTCTGCGTGAAGTATAATCCCGGCTGATGTTGGTTTGATGTAAAGTTCCGTTGTATACTTTCCCGAAGGGTAAACTGTGATCTTGGTATCTAGAAAGGGGATTGGTGTATTGTCTTCCGTCGACTCGATGGTAAATTTCATTGAAGGATGTGCTTCGTTGATGTGGGATAAGTATTCTTTGAGACTAGTTGGTCCGTGAGTCCACACTCCAAAAATGTCATCGATGTATCTCATGTAGATGTCCGGTTTGAGAAGTGCGCTATCGTTGAAGGTATCCTCAAGGTGTCCCATGAAGATGATATGTCATATATAAAACATATATATAACATATATATGTATATAAACATATGTATATATATATGTATATAAAACATATATAAAACATATATATGTCATAATGCTGTTCATACAAGTACTTCGCCATTTACTTGAAAACCGATTATGTGAAAAAATTAGCCAACTTGACTGATATTTTCACATCAGCATTTTTTTTTTCGCGTGGGTAATGAAATTTATGGGTGACCCTTACATAAAATTAGCCGCAGCCACGATTATCTGTTAGTAAAACTTGCCATAGATCGACCACGTTTATGGAATCAACCATTCAGTGCGTAACCGATCGGGGGCGACACGTACCTGAACGAGTCGATGACGACCTTGTCGAACCAGACCGCCAGTGGGGACGCCTTGAATGCCTCGGTGAGCTGTGGACCGGAGAGAGAGAGGGCAGGGTCAGGGTCTCTGTCAGTCTCTGACTGTCTCTCAGTGCCAATAGCTTCGAGGTCGCCGGCCGACAGAACCACCGCTGTGACGGTGTGACGGTGACGGTGAGGGCTGTGTGACGGTGATGGGTAGAACGGTGGCTGGTTCCTAGAAAAGACCGTATCATTACCATGGTATGCGTCACGGGCTAGGTGTCCGGACATGATGTCATGCATGTCCTTGTACTTACTGGCCAGCGAGCTCTGTCCTGATGACCGGTATGATCTAACCTGCCGTCTCGAAAATAAGCTTTGATTGGTCCGAAGTGTGACTTTTGATTGGTCTAATATGTGACTTATAACCGGCCCGAAGTCTGACATATGACCGGTACAAATTATGACCTATAGACCCGTTCGAGGTCTGACCTACGGCCGTGGCGTTTACACACGTTAGACAGATCCTAGCGTTAGCAAAGACTGCGTGAGACTCTTACAAGCCATAAAAGAAGTCAATAGGAAATTCCTATAGACTTTGGACAAAGGTCGACTGATCATCGGTCGCATACCCGACATGTCATTGGAATCTCTAAAGGGCGCCTCGGCATTTCTCATGGGTTGCACAATCACAAACTGCTGGCCAGACAGGCTCGGCCTCTGAAAGGTTCCACCACTGAGTGGAAGCGAGGCGCCATTTACGCCGGCTGTAATACAGCGTGATGAGCTGCCGACATTGCGGACCACAGTTTACCTGAATTGCGACTTCATGGCCGGGCGGAGCCAAATGACCCTGTCAATTGATTACTCGCCCTTAATCAGGATCAAAGAGCTCATCTAAGCTGATCAGGATGAGAGCCAGAAAGAGATTACTGTGTTTACAGTGTGAGCATATAGGTACGTTAGCTATTGAAATTTAATGTGTAGACTGTTTTTTATCATTCGCTTTTATGTTTTTAACAGGTACGGCATTCAATTCGCTGAGCAAGTATCAAAGAGCATTTGGATACCAACTTTACCACAATGCATTTCATCCATCAGACAGCTTGGGGCATCGAAGCGATGTTTACTTGCCGCCCGATGCAGCCGTTTCGATGGTTAAAGGTCGATACATTTCACTGGGCCGCTCCATTGGGATCGAGATACGCCACCACAAGAGCGATGCGGTCGCCGACTCCGACAGCCGATCCCTCCCTCCCCTCCCCTCCCGTCTCGTGGGGTTCGAAACAGCCTAGCTACGGTCTCGAGGGCTGTCGATCGGGGTCGCCTTGTCTAGACTGGGGCTCAGGCTCGTCAACAGCCGAGCAGGAGCCGAACGCAGCAACACAGTCCTGAACCGCACCAAGACGCTTTTAGATTTTAATGCAGCAAAGAGCTGCTCTGGAGCTCGTTGATGGTTCATTGTTTGCCTTTGTCATAAAGAGATTAGAGCGCAATTACATCGTCTTTTGAAGCGAGGGCTGCTGCTATAATGTGAATGAGTTGAAACGCATATAACAATGAAATGGAAAGAGCTTGCGGGTGTTCCGCCTGATTCTTCTGCGTGTCAATCTAAACCGTCTGTATGCTACCCCATCTGAATGTCATGCTGTGAGTGCGTCATAATGCCTCTTACGTAATCTGATGATCATAATTTCCTACGCCAAGTACCGAAGAACCGAGCCCACTGATCCTAATGGGTGAGGTTTTATGACACGGGCGTTCGCACCAGTTGCAGACCACCCACTCCTCTCTCAGTCTCGTCTGCCGTCTTTCCTGTTGTCTGACATTACACACAGAAAAATATTGACACCGTTAGCGGTGTAATTGCACAGTACATATCTGAGCACTTGAGGAAAGTTAATTTAGTCCCTTCCCCGCTTAAATTACTCGCGCTTCTAAAGGAACACCAGGAAGAAGGTAATAGAACACTGTTAGGAGGGTTGGGTGTTTTACTACGTGTAGCAAAACACCCAACCCTCCTAACAGTGTTCTATTACCTTCTTCCTGGTGTTCATTTAGAAGCGCGAGTAATTTAAGCGGGGAAGGGACTAAATTAACTTTCCTCAAGTGCTCAGATATGTACTGTGCAATTACACCGCTAACGGTGTCAATATTTTTCTGTGTGTACGAGAAATCGTTCATGGGTAAGACCAGGGCCCAATTTGGGCCCAGGGTCTGCAACGCAGCTCTGCGTGTCAGTGCTGATGCTGACGACTCAACGAGCCAGGCAGCGCACCGAGCGAGCCTCGCGTTGAGCGGGTTGAGTTTCTGTCGGTCTATGGGGAGCGGGCCGGGACGGCCGGGTCGATTCGGCGACGTCCAGGCCCGCCGCTGTCGGCGGCCAGGTCATCATTAATTTAGTCGCCGGCGATTAGGAGCGGAATCGTCCGAGTGTTATGGTGCTCAGCGGAGCGATCTCCGCGGAATGTGTGTGCTGCTCTGTCGACTGATGACGTCCGGCCGGTGGGAGCGAGAGTGCTCTCAACGGCGGGGCGCGCGTTTGCGGCACTGCTTGCCTATATGCGGATGGTTGTTAGAGGTGATTAAATACGGGGATATTCAACAGAAATATATAACATGTACGCAAAAATAGGTGAACATTGAGCGCGCATTAGAGAATAAACGCTAATATTCGTATACACAGCAACACTAAATGCGGTTAAAATTATTTGAGAAGCAAACGGAATTGCATGAAGCCGATGAAACCAAAATATCCTTGTAACGTCTCCGGTCCCATCCCGTCTCGTCCTATCCCACCCCTTCCTGTCGTCTCACCTCGAGTGTGACCAGCTCGGCGGCGTCCTTCCACGGCTCCGTGTTCCGCACTGCCAGCTCCGGCCTCCAGGTGAGGCCCTCCACGATGCGCACCGAGCTGGCCATGCGGCAGTTGGAGCCGCACACGCCAGGCGTGGTCGGCACGCGAGTTGTGGTGGTGGTCGTGGTCGTGGTAGTGGTGGTAGCCGCCGTCGGCAGAGGCGTGGTTGATTTGGTCGTCCTGACCTCACCCGGCACCGTCGGCTTCGGAGGAGGGCTTGGCCAGCCCGTAAACTTCGGTCTGGAATGGATATTGAATGGTGTTTTAATAACCAGCAACGGAAGTCGTGAACAATCTATGACCGATAACAAATCGCATTTGCTGAACTCGATAACGTAAAAATGCAGACAGGTCGTGGTAGTGCAGTGACGGCTTGAAGCGAGTGACTTGAGCTATGATAAACTGATTGTGAACTTAAAATATCTAACTGCGATCAAGGAACTCAACTTACCGGTCGCCGAGCCGTGAGAAGAGGCCCTTGCCGGGGTTCTCCAGATCGTATGCGGAAGGCGGCAGCGGCGTGCTGCCTCCAGCCTCGCTGCTGTCGTCAGGACGGCCGAGCGGCAGGTTCAGATCGAGTGGCTTCCTCTCCTTGTTGCTGCCGCCCGGGAAGACGATGCCGCCCTTCCTGCTCGGCGCCCTCGTGGTGGATTTCTCGGTGGTAGTGGGGTCCTGGCTGTCGGGCTTGTATCCCGGCGGCAGGAAGGCCGACACGTCCTGTTCAACAACAGTCACGGCCGGAGTTTCTGAGTCACTATCTGAAGTCGTGGTTGCTGGAGGCTTGTAGCCCGGCGGCAAAAACGCCGATACATCCTCCTCGACGACGATTGGAACACTGGGCCTAGACGTTGAGGTGGCTTTTTCTCGTGGCTTGAAGCCGGGCGGAAGGAAGGCGGAAACGTCCTCCTCGACGATCGGGAGACTGGATTTGGTGGTCGTTTCTGCGGGCTTGTAGCCTGGCGGGAGGAAAGCAGAAACGTCCTCTTCGATGGCGACGACTGGCAGCCCAGAACTTTCCGTCGTGGTAGTTTCCACAGGTTTGAAGCCGGGCGGCAGGAAGGCTGACACGTCCTCCTCAATGATGACCGGCTGCTTCTTCTCACTAGTGGTGCTCACCGACTCCAGCTGGAACCCGGGAGGCAGGAACGAAGACAGGTCTTCCACATCCTGAACCTCGACCTTAGGTGTGAACGTCTGCGGCGGCGGCGTCAGCTTCGGTGTGCTGGAGCTCTCGAGGTCCTCACGCACCTGCTGTTTGAAGTTCTCCGGCAGGAGGTCGGGGTTGATGTCCTCCTCGATGATGACTACACCTCCGTCGGTACGCAGCGTGGTAGTTTCGACCGACTCGGAGACAGGCTTGAAGCCGGGCGGGAGGAAGCGTGACACATCCTCCTCAACCACATCCAACTCAGCAGCTGACTCCGTGGTAGGCGGCGCCGGCTCCGTTGTCGTGGTCGTGGTGCGTGATCCCGGCCTTCTGCGCGGTGGCAGACGTACCGGCCGCTGGCGCTCACTGTCCGCCCGGAGTTCCTTGCCGTCTCGGTTGGCTCCAGGACGTTCCGTGCTGGAAGCACTGCCACGCAGACGCTCGATCAGGGACTGGACTGCCCGAGGTCGCTCCGGAGAGCCATTGGCGATGATATCCGCCAGTCCTCGGCGAGGACTGGGTGCTCTGCGGGCAGTGGTGGTCTCAATCTGCTCAGTTGTCGCCTCTGTCTCGGGTGCGTCCGTAGCGGCGGCCGTGGTCTCCTCAACCGGCGACTCTTCGTCCTTCAGCTGGCTGAGCAGCGAGGCGAGTCCGCCGCCGCCGCTGCTACTGATGGATGGACGTGGGCGTCGGTTCGCCGTCGGAAGGCGACGTGACGTAGTTGCCTCAGTCGAGGGTGCTCTTGTTGTCTCTCGGAAGCTGGCCCGCGGCGAAGGTCTGGTAGTTGGTTCAGGCTCTTCGGTCGCCTCATCAGTAGCAGCTGCCGAGGCTTGTTCCCGTTGCTGTTCCAGAAGCTGCTGCCGCAGCCGCTCCCTGAGGGACAGGCGGCGCGGCGCCGGCGTCTCCTTTTCTGGTGTGGCCTCCTCGGCTGCGCCTCCGTCCTGGCTGCGGCCCTGTAGCCGATCCCGGAAGGAGGGCCGGCGCCGCTGGAACGAGGGACGTGTGGGCCGCGGCGCGAACGGTGTCGTCTCGCGGGTGATGCGGTTGGTGGGCGGCGCGGTGATGGCCGTGGTGAAGTCCGTGTCGGAGAGTGACGGCTCCGTGCTCGCTGGCAGAGGTGCGGCAGTCGCACTCACGGTACCCAGGTCTACAGAGTCCAGTGATTGAAGTTCGCTGTCGCTGGAGACGGACAAAGGCCGAGCCGTGGTCGCGGTGACATCAGGCACGAACTCGGTCGCTTCGACGTCGGCGGCCGACAATGGCTCCGTGGTCTCCGCAGGCCTGGCAGTTGCCAACTCAGTGGTGGTCTCGGGTTCACTGGTGGCGTCGACCGGTGCCTCGGAGTCGGTGAAGACGGCGTCTCCGCCCGCCGCAGTGGTGATCGGACTGCGCTCAGTCGTGTCGGCAAACTGACTGAGGGCGCTCGCCGTGCTGGCCTCGATACTATTCTCAGTAACGCTCGGGAAGACATCACCAACTTCGTCGACATAGTCATAAAACAGGTCTCCCTCCGGATAGTCACCGTAGTCAATCAGCCCTCCGTCTCCAGTGAGGTCCTCGGTTGTGAACGAGGTCTCGGTGGTTGGCGGTGGCTGTTCGCTGGGCGGCTGCTCGGTGGGCTCGGTCGTGCTCCTTGGCCTGCCGAAGAACACGAACGGTGTCCTGCGTGGCGGTGGTGCCGGTGACGTCTGGGGCGCCGAGAACTGGGGCGTGGGCCGGGGCGCCGGCGGGGCGCCGAACCGACCGCGTGGCTCCGTCAGCTCCGGCTCGAACACGGTCACCTCGTTGGAGCGCAGAGTGGGGCTCTCAGTGGGCGCCGGCGTCGTAGGTGGCCGGTTCACAAACTGGAAGAGCGTGGGGCGAGGCCGCGGCCGCTGCGTTACCGGCGGCGCGCGGAACACATTCTGCTGTTGCTGCTCCTGCCTCTGCTGCTGCTGCTCCTGTGGCTGCTGTGGCGGGAAGCGCAGCACTGGCCGGAACTGGCCGAACTGCGGCTGCGCCGGCGGTCGGAACTGCTGCTGCGGCTGCTGGCGGAAGGCGGTGAACGGCCGCTGCTGCTGCTGCTGCTGAGGGAACTGCTGCGGAGCGTTGAACGGGAACCCAGGCGGCCGAGACTGGAACGACAGGACGTTGTTGTTGAGCAGTCGCGCGCCCTGCTGCCGCTCCCGCTGCCGCTGCTGCGCCGGCGAGCCGAATGCAGTGAACGGGACGTTGTTGGATGCTGAAACACAGAAACAGCGGCTGTTAGAACAAATGACCAGGCACCAGCACCGGCTCCACACACTACACGACCTCGATCAAAGTTGAGCGAATTCAATTCGCAGGGTCTTAACCCTATTAGTGGCAGGGGGGTTGTTTTTATCCACCCCTCAGGTTTTTCGGGAATATCTCCGAAACCGCTGAAGCTACGATGCTGAAATTTTCTGACTTTTCCTAAAACTAAATTGGGCACATTCCCTGAAAATTTCAAGTTCATAACTTTACCAGGGGCGGCTCCAGAGCACTGGGAATTGGGGGGTCCTATTCGTGAAGCGAGTCATTTGGGCGAAGATCACGATGCTGCACGAGTTTTACGAACAGTGAATGAAAGGTATCATGTGATATTTGATAACATATACAGTTATTGTGCATCCTCTTTTGACACGTTTTTGCTATAACAAGCGGATCCAGGCGTCCAAAAAGGGGGGTTATGTTTTACCTCCCAACATAGGTGCCCTGACACCGCCTATGCATGACCAATACAATTGTAGTCGTTCTCTCATAAGAAAATTGTAACATAACAAGACCATTACCACCATTTTTAGAAACAGTACCAACAAAAACCTTATTTACTATACTTTTTGTGTACCCCCAATCTCAATGATCTGTATCCGCCTATGATTTTTGGAAATGCATATTTTTGGGATCCATGTGAATTCATGGTTCATTCTCTATCGATCGGCAAAAGTTGCGTTAAGATTGGTTCAGAATCCTGGCCGTGATAAACAGTCTAAAATGTATCTGCAATTTGCCCGTTTTTACCCCCCTCTACCCCCCCCCCCCTATTGATATTTTTTAATTTTTATTTTTTAGAAATGTAGATCACGTTGAGCGAAATCGAATGCCGTTTGAATTTTGAAAATCGGCCCGTTAGATCTCGAGATATCAAGGGGGGTCGTAAACAGCCCCCCCTGCCACTAATAGGGGGTAGCCAGGAGCCTGCCACTAAATACTAATAGGGTTAAATGATGTTTTTTGTGTCTAATTCATGGGTTCGGCGATTATATAAATTGTAAACACTTATTGCGCTGATTTCCAGAGCCTTGAGAGGCGTACAGTATTTATCGCGGAAAACATTCCTTTTCGTCGCTCAGCATGGTGGTCGGTCGCCTAGTTGGGGAGGCGACTCGCCTCCCCAACTTTCTCCTTCCTCTCTCTCTCCCTCTCCCCCCTCTCTCTCTCTCTCTCTCTCTCTCTCTCTCTCTCTCTCTCTCCTTCTTTCTCACACCGTTTCCGCGACAAGGCATTAAAACCGGTAAACTATGCATTTAGAAGCTTTTACAAGTCTCAGCGTAACTTTAACCCGCGCCCTGCTGGGGGTCCTGGATTTCCACGCCCTGCTGGGGGGGGGGGGGGGGTGTTTGAACACCCCCCTTGTAACTCGGCTCCTGGGCCACGTAGCGATACGCGGAAGGCGGCGTTCGAAAGAGCGTAAAAAATAATGACGAAATCACTTCGGTCAATTTTTTGGTCAGGTCAAAGGTCAGGTCACCAGAGGTCATTGAAGGCAAAATTTCGCCGATTTCCAGGTCGAATGTCGAAAATTTCCAAGAAGCCAACGCATAACTCGGGAACCAATAGAGCTACAGCGCCGCGGAAAAGCGCATTCGATAGCCCTATTAACGCCCTTTCTGAGTAATTCTCTCAGATTTGACCTAAGGTCAACGGTTTTGCCTGCAGGGGGCAAAAACTGCAAAAATAGCCGATATTTTCGAAAACAGTTTTTCTGCAATAACTTTTGACCCAAGCCTTGTACGAGCTTACTTTTACCGGCATCGTGTTCCTCTCGTCAAGACGCATCGAATGAACTATAACTTGACCTTGAAAGGTCAACTTGAAAATTTGACCTCAGGTCAAGGTCATGACCTGACCGGAAAGGGTCATGTTGCATATCAGTCGATCCGTATCGTCGAGCTGAACACATCTAAGGCGTTTTCATCGCTCTAGCATGCCTCTATCAAAAGTTATTTGCGAAAAACTGTTAGATACCATTCGTGACCTAAGATGACCTCAGGGCATAAACAAGGGTCACGGACACCATTTTCAAGTTCAGTGTGTCTAAACCACTTGTAATTCGGTGTTTGGGAGTGTGTATAATGTCTTTCATCCAAAAGAGGCGCATTTCAATTTTCTCCCATTGACTTATAATGGGGAGGTCGCAAAATTGACCTGACCTTAGGTCATCGATATCAAAATTCTGAGATATACATTTTGTACATGCTATTGCTCTTAGCAATCGCTGAAAGTTTCAAAGCGATCGGTCACTCGGTGTAGCTATGACAGACATTGAAAGTTTTTATGAGGTGAGGTCACTTCAAGTGACCTGGTGACCTGACCTTGAATGACCTTGGTCTGAAATTTTAACAACATGTGTAGAATTGATGTATGATAAGGTGTACCAAAAACGGCGGCGCTCCGCGCCGCCGTATTTGAGATATTCGCGAAAAACCACAAGGGGGGGTGTTCAAACACCCCCCCCCCCAGCAGGGCGCGGGTTAAGCAAAACAACTGTTTAAAGATACACACAGCTCAATAAACCGTATTCGTTCTCGTCACTATAACATTTCGTAAAACCACTCATACGAGTATATTTCGCTGGTTAGAGACTCGAAATGCGGAGGTTGATACTGTAATCAAATGTTGGACACATACATTACGATTGTTTTGAAAGAACGTCTATCCCTGTCATCTCAGAAACAAAAACACGCGACCGGGCACAAATTATTTCTTCCGGAGTCTATCTGGTCACGTCAAGAGGCGGCCGCGATCGAAAGGAGCCGGCAGGAACAGACTCGGGGCCAAACAGATACCACTTGGAGCCGACCGACGGACAAAAACAGCTCACTCGGTAGGGTGCAGGGCTGGGGAGTGTGGAGCGGGGACTGAGAGGGGCCGTCAGTGGCCAGCGCCGAGGACCATCAGCGGAGACTGGAGAGCGCTTGTGGGGTTATGAGACCGAGGTTCGCCCTCCAGAACCGCTACAAGTAAAAAGATATGAGAAAGAGAGAGCGAGAGAGAGAGAGAGAGAGAGAGAGAGAGAGAGAGAGAGAGAGAGAGAGAGAGAGAGAGAGAGAGAGAGAGAGAGAGAGAGAGAGAGAGAGAGAGAGAGAGAGAAAGAGAGAGAGAGAGAGGGGGGAGGGAGGGAGGTAGGAGGAGTGGGAGGTAGGTAGGTAGGAAGAGTAGGAGGGAGAGGAGTGGAAGTATAAGGAAGAGAGGATTGATGAGAGGCTTCCGTTGGTTGTTGACTTCGTGATTGGAAAGCCTCACTCCACCTGAAGCAGTCGATGACTGGACGCTTTTCCAACGTCCTTAACAGCTTTACTCTAGCATCCACTGCGCGCCGGTATATGATAAAGTCGCTGGTCGCACGTGCTCTAATAGATTCTAATGGTAATTCGATATAGCTACCTTGGGGACTTCTTTTGATAGAGCGCTCTCAACCGTATACCTACGTAGTCGATTACAAACGCCACCCAATATATTTGCAAATACACGTTTGCCTGATATCATCTGTGGTAATGCAACCATTTGCAAATTAAATTGGACGCCGTCCCACCAGTAGGGTTTCCATATGGACTCAAACGGGGCCACTTGGGAGCACATGAGCTAGTTCCCTGGACTGATGATTGCCGAAATCGATACGGGAATCGGGAGGGGGCGGGCTACCGATGGCTCAAGGCGATCAGCGCTGCCAAGCCTCTGTCCGCATAGAACCGAACAGCCGTAGGGAGTCATCGCCGCGGTGGGACAGACTCCTGCGACCTGCAGGCAGGCATTTGGAACACTCAGCTCATTTTGTCTGTAGGTAATTAAATTATTTCAGTGGCTACGGCCTACGGGGAAGGCACTAGCAGAGCCAATTCAATTTTTGGCTGTTACAAAGAAACTAATGTTCTATGGATGACCCACCGCTTGCCCGTTCTGGCGTCGTGGGAAGACGCGAAAGGGACATTTCTGTCAATTGAATCGACATTCTTAAACGTTCCGCCTCCAAACCGGACCACCGTTTCCGGTAGCCGGCAGAGACCGAGTCAGTCCTAAACAGATACAACCCGGGGCTGAAGAGCGACTGAGACCGCCCTTTGCAGCCGGAGAGGAGATGTATGAGGCTGGCAGACAGCCAGCCGCTCACCAGCGAGACATCGCCTGCATCTGACATAGGGGTGCCGCGGCTCGCGCGCCAGCGCTTTAGTGTGCGGTCGGGGCCTTGCTGAAAAAGATAAGGGCCTCGGCCGATGCAAAAGAGAAGCGGAGAGAGGTCAGCTGGCTGGAATGGCCGCGAAGTGGGACAGGCTGACGTCACCGCTGAGCCCGTGACGTCACGGCGGGCAGTGAGAGTGAGTGGGGCGCCGGCGGCGGGTGCGGATCCGGGTGGGGCAGGCCGCGCCGACCGGCAATGGCACCTGCTCGCCGCCCGCACTGGAGCGCGCTCGGGGAGCACCCAGGCGGGAACAATCACGCTGGCTCCTGATGTAATTGGTTGCCGCCGAGCGGCTCCCAGCAGATACGAGCCGGCTGGTGTGCGACACTCCGGTACCGACGGAAGCGGCGCCGTCGGCGGTCGGCCGACTGTCGCATAGGATAGCGAGCAAATGCACACGTTGGACAGAGCACGCCGGGTAAAAGGAAATTCGACAGGAGACGGCGCTTACCGGAAAGGATACGGCGCATACTGGACAGAAGGCAGCATGCTCGTATACCGGACAGAGGAACTCCGAACACCACCAGAAGTCGTCGCACAACGAAATAACAAAAAGCACAAGCCTGACGGCTTACAGTCTGCGCGTGCACCGTACCGTGTCCTGAGCTCACAACAGCGTGACGAGGAAATGTCTGCACGGACCACGCCCGGGGTCGGTGAGCTGGCGTCACGAAACCGCCGGGTGCCTCACAGGCTGAGCAGATTGTAGCATTCCCATGATCCGTGTCGGAAATTCGAGCCGGATCGGTACAGCTCAACGC